AATTCAAGCGCTTGGGAAGCAGAGGCAGGCCGATTTCTGTGAGATTAAGTCCAGCCTGGTCTACATATTGAGCTCCAGGCCAGCACGGACTACATAGTAAGACCCTGTCTCAAAAAAAACAAAAAACAAAAACAAAGCAACCTCCCCCCAAATAAAAGGAAAATGTCTCAAACACTGCCTCTCTCCTGCATGCCTGACTCTAATTTTTAAGGTTCTGTTACCTGACATCATCAATTTAATATCTGGGAGGACCTCTTAAATTTTCAGTACATAGTTTGGAAATCAGTAAGAAAGCTTTTGTTGAAGCCCACACAGGAAATGAGGGCATGACCTAATGTATAGGCAAGGAAAGAACTGGAAGCTGATTTAAGAGACATTTCTGAGGTGAATGGGGGAGGGTTACTGACCAATGGAAGAAGCTGGACAAGAGCCTGAGTAGATGAGAGGGTGAGTGATGAGAGAGAGAGAGAGAGAGAGAGAGAGAGAGAGAGAGAGAGAGAGAGAGAGAACAGTCAGATGGAAACGATGCTTCAGAGTTAAAGAAAACCTTTTTATTCAGACAAGGTTTCATTTTCTATTTATTATTATGTATGTGTGTGTGATGTGTGTGTGTGTGCAGTGTACACATGCTACTGCATACATGTGTAGGTCAGAGGGAAACTTTTGGGAGTCAGTTCTCTCCTTCCACTGTGGGTTCTGGGATTAAAATCAGGGTGTCAGGCTTGCATATCAAGTGGTTTTACCCACTGAGCCATCTTCTGGCCCCCGAGACAGGGTTTTGTATAGCCCAGGCTGGCCTCAGACTCTCTACATAGCCAAGAATGAATTTGTACTCCTGATCCTTCTCTCTCTATTTCCCAAGTTCTGGGATTACAGGCTTGTACCATGGAGACTAAAAAGGAACATTTACATTGCATCTGGCAGTGTTGTTGGCTTGAGTAAAGAGACAAGGTTGGAGGCCAGAAAAAATTCATCCTGAAACTGAGACTGTTGGGTATCATCAGCACTCACAAGGCTGAAGTAAGCAGATTGCCATGAGTTTGAAACCAGTCACAGTTACACAGCCACACACACACACACACACGAACTGGGTTTTCTCAGGTGGCATAACAACTCAACAAAAACACAAATCTATGTCCTTTTCCAATTGTTTATGACACTGGAATTAACCGCAGGAATTGGGGTTGGTGCATATTTGACTCAGGTTGTTGTTGTTGCAGTGCTAAGGATGGGACACAGGGCCTTGTTCATGCTGGGCAAGCACTCAATCACTAAGCTATATCCTTAGCTCAGATTTTGTTCTTGAGCACTGTTATACTGCTCGTGTACAGCCACGGATTTTCTGATCACCCTTGGGCAATTTGTTATGTATTCTGTATGCTTTAATCTTCCTCTCTGTAAACAAGGCAGAGGTAGACTCATATGGGGAATATTGAGAGGGTACATGTGAAAGCTGACCCATGACCCATGAGGTTCAGCCAATAGTAGTAGAGTAAGAATTAATTAATAGACCAAGCCTCTTCCAGCACTAGGCTGGGAACATGTTGCTGGAGAGTTCCCAACTAGCCTGACAAGTGTATCTCTCACCACTTATCAAAGAAGCTTCTTTTTGCAACATATGGAGACTACTACAAAGTTCCACAACTGGTCAAACTCAGGTAAGTGTCAGTGAGGTACCCAGCCCTAAGTGCAATGCAACCTTTACACCTCAGGGAACACCACAGAAGAGGGGGTGAAAAGAATGTCAAGAGCCAGAGGGACAAGATACCTGCTGCTACTTAATGAATTCTAGACATGATAGGGAAGCTGCCCCAATGACATCTCACAGTACGGGAGTCTAACAAGGTCTGCATAATAACAAAAACAGGTAATATGCCAAGGTGGATATGGGGAATGGCACAGGTTCCCACTTCAAGATGAAGAGCTATAGGCAACCAATAATCAATGGATGCTGAAGGAGGGATGTTATCTAATTCCAAGAGGGAAGCCCAAAACACAGGTACACAGGGGTACCACTAAATAGACTCAGTGCATCATATATTGTTTATATATTGTTTTATATATATAAAACAATAATAAAGAGGAGGACAAGAAATTGAGAGGGAGTTGGGGGGATATGGGAAGAGTTGGAGGGGGACTGGGAGGGATAAAAATAGTTATAATACTCTACTCATGTATGATAGTCACAAAAACAAAAAAGAGAATATTAGTAGGCCAAGAAACCCTAGAGGTGAAGGGAAAGCTGTACAAAGGCAGATCTTCCGGCTATCTCTGCTCCCCAGAAGACCTGGGGAGTAGATTCGAGTGTCCATCTTGCAGTTCTTGCCCATCTTTCTTCATGATAGTTTTCTGACAACTTACCTAAAAGTCCCAAATGCTTCAGATTTCCAGTTGTTGAGACATTATTTTTGAGAGCGGAGGTTACCCTAGTGGTTAAACCAGAGCCAACTGCTAGGCAGCAAGTATGCTGCCATAATTGAACACATGGTTTTGTCTACTTTACCACATTCTTTGTTTTCCTCTTCTAGAATTGTATCCCTATTAGTTTATCTGTTGACTTATTGAAGTGGCATTTACAACAGCATTAATAAACAACGCTTTCACTCTTTTAAGACTGCCAATTTCAAGGATCACTTTATTTCGAAGTCTTTCTAAGTCCAGAAAATCTTTCATTTGGCCTAGGTGCACAAAGGTGGTATGTTTAGGACAGAGGCTTGAAGGGAATTGACAGAATAAGGTCAGGATTTCTTGCTCTTAGAAATAAAATGTCACATCCTAATACAATCCTCTCTGGAATTTGTGTTATCACTAGCACTTGGAGCTCTGGGAATCCTGTTCTTGGTCAGAATTTAGTAGTGCTGTTACTGGAGTTGTTGGGGTCAGAACCTAGACCCCAGCAGCCTAACAAACTAGGTTTTGCCACTGTTCTTCAATAGGTCAATTAAAAAGCCAAGTAATAATGAAAAGCAAAGAACAATTGCTCCAGAACAGAGCCACATTGGGAAGAAAAACAAATAAAGAGGTCCAGTGCCCCCCCACCATGTCCATCTTTAGGGTCCTGCTATGAAGCTTAAATGAGAGGCAAGAGGTATATATAATTAAGCACTCCTGATCAAAGAGGCCACGCCCATCATTGAATCTCCTTCTCTCTGCTCCAGTCTCTCTTGCAAGGTGACCTAACAAGTGGTCAGAACTGTGTGACTTAACTTTCTGGGAGGCAAGTTCCTCCTCTGGTTGGCACCAGGCTTCAGCCTCTTCTCCTGGCACGAGACTGCTGGGGGACATTTTAATTCCTTGGAACCATTGTTTCAATAGTCTGATAGCCAAAGGGAAAGGCAAAGTGTCTCTATTCCTGCAGTTAGGGATTTAGTTCAGTGGTAGAGCACTTGCTTAGCAAGCACAAGGCCTGGGGTTCAGTCCTGGCACTGGGATTAGAACATTAGATCATTTCTACTCCCCCTAAGGTGGGCACAATGCTATTTTAAGTTTTTCTGGGACCCTCATTTGCTAATACATCAATGCATTCTATTTTATGCCAAATTTCACCATCTCAGCTGTGAGAGGAGCCGTACCTATGTACGTACATAATTGTACAAAAACTACTGTTTGAGATGGCTCAGTGGGTAAGGGCACTTGTTGCTGAGCCTGACGACCTGAATTTGATTCCCAGAATTCACATGGTGGAAGGAGAGAACCAACTCCCTCAAGTTGTTCTATGATGCCAACCCTCCCCCTTCCCCCACAAATAATGTAATAAAATTTTGTTTTAACTACTGCTTGCAATTCTGTACTGTTTCTATGCTTTATATTAAACTCTTTTTCTTCGGGTGCACGTACTGGAGCCACTTTTGTCTCCCTGGGCCTGCAGGAGAGTCTCCAGAGAAGACTGCTGCCTGTTGGCTTCCTGGGTGCCCCAGGGGTGCTATTGGAGTCCCTTGATGGAGACATTGAGGTCCAATCACAATACTATCAAGGGACCGCCATCCACTGTCTGGAGAGAAGTTGAAACCGGGTACTTGCAAGAAATAAGAACCTATTTTATGAGGTTAGAGAGATGGCTCAGCGGTTAAGATCACTGACCTCTTTTGCAGAGGACCCCGGTTTGATTACCAGCACTCACATGGCAGCTACAAACCGTCTTTAACTCCAGTTCCAGGGGACTCCAACACCCTCTTCTGACCTCCACAGCATTGCACGACACGGGTGCACTCACATACATGCAGACAATACACTCATACACATAAAATAAAAATAA